AATCTTCAAGGTGTGTTTTGGCAAAGCTCACTCGTGACTGCATGTGATATTGTTGTCACATGCACACAATGACCACTCTTTGTCATAAATTCCTGCAGCTGCTTCAGAGTTGCTGTAGGCCTCTTGGTCGCCTCTCTGAGCAGTTTCCTCCTGGCTCTTTCATCCAGTCTGGAGCGATGTCCTGATCCAGGGAGGGTCTGTGTTTTACCAAATACCTTCCACTTCTTAATAATAGACTTCACTGTGCTTCTAGGCCTTTGAATTTTTTTTTATCCATCTCCTGACTTGTGCCTGTCCACAACTTTAACCCAGAGATCTTTTGACAGTGCCTTGCCACCCATAGAAGAAAACCAAAGATAATTTAATGCTATAAGCCATGACATTTAAAAATTAGTAACATTTATTAATATTAAGGTTTTTGTTTTTTTTTCAAATAATTCAGCTTGTTTGTATAACTGTAGGTGGTTTAAGGTTAAATAAAATAAAAATCATATTACAAATATAAAATAAAATATAAAATAAAAGTGATTTGACAGCCTACTAAATGTAGCAACCGTTTATCATCAATCACAGCCTTGGCAAACATTTATCAACCTGTCATGTCAAAAATGAGTGAAAAACGACAATGACCTAATGAATTCTTTCCTTATTCCCTTTCAGTTTCCTGCAGGCTCCTCCGGATCAGCGACCGCTTCTACCTCATCCTCTACATCGTCAGTCCGGCAGACCCGGCAGCGCGTCACCCGGGTCAACCTCAGGGACTTGATCTTCTGCTTGGAGCAGGAGCGAACCACAGCCAGGTCCATGCTGCTCTACAAGGCCCTTCTGAAGTAGCACTGATCCAGTGAGATGGATGAGATCATCCACGCTAATGGTACTCCACCTGCTTGACTCTCAGTAATATGTTCAAGTCTTCCTCTCCTTCTCCGCATTCATCTCCGGTTTGTGCCTTCAGACTCACCTGTGGCATGAACTCTTTGTTCAGTATGAGCGCGTTGTTGTAAATCTTATAAACGTAGGCATTCTGGAGATGAGAAGGTTCTGGAAAAGCCCAAAAGGCGGCGGCTGTGGACACCATGTGATTTTCCCCTCTGAGTCACCCTTTTATGGTTTTATTTCCCCTTTGTTTTGGATTAATGAGCCATCATTTTGAGCAATGTTGATCTTTTTATTCATTAACTTGAACTCGGACTGGTTTTACGTTTCAGCATAGAGATTGAGATTTGTTTTATATAAATAGCGGATGGACTTGTTTTTAACTGAAAGCCTCATTTGCAATAGAGACACTGGAAATGTGAATGCAAAGTTCCTGGTTTTAGAGGTCTTAACGAGTCGGGAGTATTTTTAGTAACTTATGTAGCGCATCTTCAAGTCTCTAAGGATGGTTTTTTTTTTTGTTACTGATTTCTGCAAAATGAAGAAACTCTGTGTTGTAAAACACTGACTGTCTTTCATCCTATTGGATGGTCTTTTGAAATTCAGTGACAGTTTTGTCTCGCACACTCAGTGTGGGGTTATAGGGGTGTACAGTTTCACTAGTGTCTGAGTTAAGTATACTGTGAAATGGTGCCTTACGTGGCCCTCCTGCGGCACCATTGTTTTTAATCAAATCCAAGGCACGGAATTATCTAATATGCTAATACTAATATGCATCGCTTCACCAACGATTCTAGAGCAGGATCTCTCATAACTTATTTGTGGAGAAATGGCAGGTTGTATGTGCTGTTAATTTGACCATTTAAAAAAAAACAAAAAAACATTCAAAATGGGGTGGCTTTGACGGACTGCAGTAATTATTTTAAAATACTGTCGCATTTTGTATCATGTACTTTTGTGTTTGAAATTCAAGTTCACTATAAATTTAGTATCTGTCATCGGGCATTATTTTATGTCTCAAATACCGAATATTTGTATACTGCCCTTTATGACATGCAGTAGGAGAGGACATGTTTGACATTTACATTTTGGCGTTGTACAGATGTATGTTGGGAGACGGTCAGCGGTCATGTCGTGTGCAATGATTCCTTTGAGATCTGAGGCAAATCTTTTTCCATCTCTCAGATTGGTTTTAATTCGTATTGTTTGTACTGGCATTTGGACAAACAGTATTGTTGATCAAGGGATTGTCTTTTGTCTAAAAAAAAACCCATATCTATTAGAATTTCTATTTTTGCTAAATTTAACAATTTTTGAATGTTTGGTTGGTTTGGAAAAAAGTGCTCATCTCTATTAAATTTGTACTTTTGTAAAAGAATAAAGTTCCTAATTATAATTCTTCCAAGACTTTCTTTGATGTGGTTTTACCCTAATATGTCAAACATGGAATCAAAATTGTTAACTTAAATGACCTTTCATACTGTGAAAAAACAACCAAAAAAAAAAAACCTTAATCTTTCATCAAAATGCTTTTTTTTTTTTTTTTTTTGCCTGATGTCAGTTAGGCCACACAGGCTGTTGGTAACGTTAATCATAATACATCCTTACATCCTATAATTTTGCCTATAGTTAATGTGGTAATATAATGCTGTTAACATAACCAGCAAGTAAAGGATCAAATAAATGTGCCCTGATTCCTGGGGCCTTTTTTTTTTTCTTTTTTTTCACAGTTGACTGAAAACTCATTCAGGTGAAACTCTATTCTGGTATTTACTGCCCACATTTCATGATTCAATTTCTGATTAAAAACGTCAAGTCCTGTCCTACTTTTTCTTTTCTTTTTCTTTAAAAAAATTGTTTTTTGTAGTTCAATATTGTTTTGTTCAGAAAATTAACCGTCATTGATCTATTGTGAACTATTCATCCATTTGTTTCATGTTCAAAATGTCATTTTAATCAAAATGTCAATCCTATGTTGAAATGGCATGCTGCTTTCTGCTGACATGTGCCATACTTCTCCAATCATTCAGTCTACTGAAACTCCGCCCCTTTCTCACAATAGACTGCAAGTTCACATTTAGATCCGCCTTCATCCAATCAACAACCAACTGATAAAACCATTTTTTTTCTATTCCGATATTCCATTTCACACTGAGTTTTTGACTAACCCTGACCATGTTCATGCTGTTTACTTTAAATATGTTCCCTGTCATTTGTATCAAGTTTTTCCGACACATTCGCATGCTGCCAGTGGTTTAAAATAGGGAAAGAACGCCAACAATTTATTAAAAGTTTGTTTATCAACACCGATTACAAAAAGAATGTAACAATTCAAATAAGCACATGCCTGACATACCACTATAGTTCATATCAATAATAATCCATTACAAAAAAATGTTTTATTTAAATAATATACATTTGGACCATACTGCAATATACATGAGACAACATCCATTAGAGCAGTATTTAAATTAAGATTTATGTAATGTTCGACATGGCTTCTCCGATAATCGTCTTTTTAATGTTCTTGTCCTTGAAACCGAAAACCGAATGGCAGTTGCAGAGCAGCGAGATGACGAGTTGCATTCAGGGGGACCTGCTAAGCGTCCATGAGCCTTTATGTACAATGTACAACAAATCAAGGAATTCTGAATACGTAGCATAAAAGAAATGCTGGCCAGTTAAGACAACACTTAGCATAACAACCTTCCTTTTGAAATAGCGAGGCAAATGACTTGGAAATAATAATGTGCGTTTTTACAACACATTATGCAATTCAGTCTGTTTACCAGCCACCAAGTTAACCTTTCAAGTTTATTCTCCCTCAGTCTTTCTCCGAGTGGCTCTGATTGCGATGTTTTGCTAAGGGAGAGTGAGTAAAAGGGATTGTGGGAAAGTGACCTTAACTCCTGGAGAAGAAGTCTGACCCGTAGCCCCTCCGTCTCCAGGCCTTAAGGGGCACAGTAATTCCCCTCTTCTACAGCGGTCCGAGCAGCGGCCCCTGACTGCTGCATTCATTAACAATCTGACTCATTTTTTCCAAAGGTGCCTTCATCAAACAAGATGTTATTTTGGACACACAGGGCATTGAATCTACAAAGCAATTATTACTCAAAGCAATTATGTACAGTGGGTACAGAAAGTATTCAGACCCCCTTCAATTTTTCACTCTTTTTTTAATAAATCTGCAAAAATGTCAACAATTCTGTGTTTTTCTGTCAATATGGGGTGCTGTGTGTACATTAATGAGGAAAAAAAATTAACTTAAATGATTTTAGCAAATGGCTGCAATATAACAAAGAGTGAAAAATTTAAGGGGGTCTGAATACTTTCCGTACCCACTGTATAATAAACGTTCCGAAGCGACTAGTTTTGAAGAAAACGGGCACCCAAAAGAAAGTGGAGGATTTAGCAATGCCATCTGAAAGGCTCTCCCACATGAGTCCAGGTTTCCCTTTAGACATGCTCTATCCTCTCTGCCCAGCACTGAATGCATTACCAGATCGTCTGCTTTAGCCGCCATGTAGCCTCAAGTCAAAGCGTCAGTGCGGCCAACTCCAGACCGCACTTACAACCAAATGACTTCTGAGAACTGCTCTCGTATCCTTCATGTAGCGAGACAACAGCAATAAACCTGTAGGTCATAAAAGAACTGATTTACATAGATGAGACTGGAAAATGAGAACATTAGATATCTAGATTAAAAATGGATCAGATGACAGACTTTGTATTTTGTGGTTAATTTCGCCCGGGAGCTTGGAGATCAGACTGCTGCATCATTTAGAAGTGTTCTAGCCGGAAGGTGCGCTCGCCATGAACGCAACTTCCTTGTAGAGTCCCTCTTTTTTCGCTCTTTTACGCACATACAATGGCGAACTTATGATATGGATCTGTGGTAATATAGATCAGTGAATGCATTTTTCATGACTAGAGCCAAAGAAATGGCTAAAAAGTTCAACTGGAGGTCAATAGTTGAAAAGCCATCCTGTGACTCGTTTGGGTTTGTAAAGCATCTTTTGGAGCAGATTTGGGGTCGTTGATGAAATTACTCATACATTTACTAAGATTTCAGTCCTCTTGGAGTCCGAAGAGTTGAAGCAAACTCTTGCAAATTAAGTCTTCTATTTGTCTACTGGCATTTTTTTTTTCTTTTGACAGCAGACTGAGGTGTTTGTGGTTGGTGCAAGAGCCGGCTAGTCCAGAGGCTCCTGTTTTATCCTGATGGGTGTGTGGCTGGTCTGACACCGTCTGTCTTCCCGACTCAAGATGTATTCACTGAACTGGGAGGAGTCCACACCCCCGCCGCACGACGCCACCATGCTGAAGCCTTTCTGGAACAGTCTCTCCAGAACCTAGGAGAAACCAGGGACATTTTTAGTATATTGTTGTAATATAAGAAACTCAGTACTTCGTATAGTTGAATTAGTACACCAACAATCTCTCTAGAACCTATGAGAAACCAGGGCCATTTTTGAGTATTTTGAGAAGTTTTCCACACAATATGAGAACCGCAGTATCAGTACTACACCTAATTCTGACAAGACATCACCATACCGAACCCTTTTGAAACAGTCCCTACAGGACCAAGGAGAAACCAGGGACAATGAGTTTTTAAATTTATGCTGCTCTATAAGCAATTCATATAGTTGCATCGACAGATAGAATGCTGAACCCTTTAAGAAAAAGTCTCTTCAGGACCTAAATGAGACCAGGGGATTTTTCTAGTATTTTGAGATGAAGCTTTCCATAAAATAAATGAACTAAACTCCTATTTATGGATCTATATTAGCACTTCACCTAAATAAATCAAGACGGCTCCAGACTGAACCCATTTGCAACAGTCTCGCCAGGACCTAGATGAAACCAGGGGAGTTTTTTAGTACTTTGAGATTAAGCTTTCCATAAAATAAACTCCTATCTGTGCTACTCGTGTCAGCACTTCAAATAAGTTTGCATAATTGCATCAAGACGACACCTTTTGCAACAGTCTCTCTAGGACCTAAGAGAAACCAGGGGACATTTTTTCCTCAGCGTTTCAGCTCAAGTTCTCCATTGAATATGAGCAATTCAGTATGATTTTTGCCACTCTGTCAGAGCTTCATAGTTGCATCAAGACAAATTCCATGTTGAAACTGTCGCTCCAGGACAAACCAGGGGCATTTTTATTATTTAGAGAAGTTCTGTTAAAGGTGCAGTAAGCGATTTCTGAGAAATGCTGTTGATATTTGAAATCACCAAAACAAACACACTCCTGCCCAAAAGAATCACACCCCTATCTTGCCTCCGCCCCAAATTTCTGAACATGCTATTCAACACAGGCACCTCCCCCATCACTACTGGACACGCCCCTTACTGGTGATTGGCTACAAGTGTGTTTTGGTGCTCGGTCCGATCCACTTTCAACTGCGTTTCTCAGAAATCGCTTACTGCACCTTTAAATCTGAGAAACTTTTGAGTTTTTGGAATAAATAATTTATGCTACTCTTTACATAATTGCATCAAGATGGCAACCCTTTCTGGCACCATTTCTCCGGGACCTAAGAGAAACCAGGGGAGTTTTTCTTTTAGAGATTTTAAGATGAAGTTTCCATAAAATAAACTCCCATTTATGCTACTCCATCAGCACTTCTGATAATTACATTAAGACGACACCTGCAACAGTCTCTCTGTGACCTAAAGAAACCAGGGGAATTTTTGTCTATTTTGAGTTCTCTGTTGAATATGAGAAACTCGGTATGAGTTTTTTGAAAGTAAACTCCTATTTATGCCACTCTATCAGCACTTCACATAGTTAACGCATTTACTTCACAAGACGCATTTAAAATGTGCAATCTCAGTAACAGTGCTATCAACAACTTCATGCTTGCATTACCCTCAGACGTTTCTCACTCCAGACCATCCACCCGGGATGAGAAGGAGCGAGACATCCCCTGGGCTGTTTACAGGGGTTTGATGCGGAGTCAAATGAGAATAGGCTCCCCCACTGACAGCCCACACTGAAGCTGCCCGGCTCTTTCATTACAAACCCAATGCACACAATCTCGGCTACTGTCAGAGATCCCTCACCGAGAGCCGTCTCTGGGCGACCGCTGTCGCTGTCATTCCCATCGCCGCAAAAAGCCAATGAAATGTTTTATCTGTTGGAGTGCTTGTAGATTTTTTTGAAATTCAATACATGCAGCCTTGAGTATTCACTTACTCCTGCACTTCTTTCAAGTGTGCTTCACATGAAAATGAAAGTTCTGGCTCGGGGCTACAGAGCCAGATAAAAGTTCCTCTGCAAAAAAAAAAAAGACGAAGGAATCAGTTGAACTGCACAGGGCCTGAGAAAAAATGTCCACCCTTATCCTCACTTTGGAAGTTGAGAAACTTGGAGAGAAAATGAACACTTCTTACGACTTGCGCACAGATGAGGTATGAAAGAAATCGGCAGCTGATTCAAGGGCCTACCGTGCACAAAGAAAGATTGCTCTTTTCAAGAACATATATCGGCATTGAGGCTCGTGTAAGGTTTCGGTTGCATCAGTGTTACAGAAGCGAGTTTTAATACACAAATTTTGACTTTGAAGTTCATTCTTTTTGTGTGATTTTCAAACTTTTTCCAGTGGATTTCGAAAATTTGTCTTAAAGGGATAGTGCACCAAAAAATGTAAAAAAAAAAAAAAAAATGTTCATCATTTACCCCCCTCACGAAGAAAAGATGATTTTGGAAAATGCCTCCATGTTTGCTGACCATTTAATGAGTCCAATGTTGTTTTGGACCCCATTGACTTTCATTGTATGGTCAAAAACGGTATTCAAAATATCTTCTATTCCACAGAGTGAAATCTGGGTGAAATATACCTTTAATTTGTATTTAATCCATTCCTTTCATAAAATACATCCATATCTAGAGTTCTTACTAAAGACAGAATGAACATATATAGACTCTAGCTAGATATGTTCATTCTGTCTTTAGTAAGACAGAAGCTTTTATACTTGAGAGGCTTGTGACACTATATTA